TTTTGGCAAGATTGTTGTTTAAATGGATCTTATAGCATGTACCAGAAAAAGCCAGAAACACAAAAAAAAAGAACGGGAGAAGACCGGAGAAAGTGAAGAGGTACCCATCCTCAGGTCTTTCACTTTTACTTGCTGGATCCAATGAAGGAGTGCAGACAGGTGATCTCCCCCAAAACAAGAGGAAAAGGACAACCTCACGAATCATGCTGATTTGCTTGACAGTGGTCAAGGAAGTTTTCAGCGTGCTCCTTCCAATCTAGAGACAGGGTGCAAGGAGGATCCAGGACCAGAAAGAATAACAGGAAAGGAGCACAAGACTATCAAGTACCAATCTGACCTTCCCAGTATTCATTGACACAGCACTCCTCGGGCCAACCTGCCTCACAGCCCCACTCATTCTTCTCCCTTCAGGCAGTTCACATTTCCTTACAAACATGCGCTGCTTGTATACATCCTCAGCCTAATGTTTTGAACCTTAACCTCAGGTGAGTAGGGCCTCACCTGACCATGGCTGGAAAACTTCAGTGTACCTGATCAAAGTCTTCACAGCTTGTCAATTTTCCTGAGCAGTTCTCACTGTGAACTCACCTCCTCCAGCCTACTGGGTTGCAGACAATAAATATGTGGCACTCCTGCCTAGTTGGGAAAGAAGTAATCTGTGCACAAAATTGCTCATAACTGGTCTTCAGAAATACTTTCATTTCAGCTATGGATGTCCAGGAAAGCCAGTTTGGGACAGTACCATATTAGGACTAACCCGATGCAATTTTCTCACCTCCCCTCCCGTCAACGTGCTTTCATTGAACTACAGCTGAGTCCCTTGCTCTATAACCATGTTGATTATCCTACTGTTGTATACCTACTTGCTCAACTACAAAGTGTGCGAGTTCAATTACCAAAGACAAGTCTGATAAGTGAATTATTTGCAATCATGGGAAAACAGAAACACTATGCCTTTAAAAACACAAATAATTCTTCCAAAACTTTGTAGGAAAAAAAAATGGTCAAAAAATCCAGATATAAAACTTCAAACCTTCCACTGCTCCTTTCTGCTTGTTGCTGTTCTCTGCATCGGAGTCATTATATATTTATGATCAAAAAGTTGTCTAAACTAATACATTTTAAAGCCTTAATATAGAGATATGTGCTCTGTTGGTTACATGACTCAATTTTCATTACTTGTCTCATATTTAAAACTGTCATCTACTACAGATTCAAGTTCCTTTTCTAGGCTCTCTATGAATTTTGATCTGTTTATTGCGCACTTATGTCACATTCAAATTATCTGTTTAGCCAAGCACTCCCAACTTTACAGCTCACAAACTTTACAGATACTAGTCATGTAAAATTGAATAAAATCATGCAAGCTCAATAATTTTTTTTAGTCCCCAAAACCATAAAACTCCCTCAATTTATATACCCTTTGAGCTCCTGCCACCTCTATTTAAGCATATTGTGCAATGCAAGAGGCTGTATATAACAATCCAGTTACCAGTACTTTTTTTAAAAAAAAGTACTGATCTGTGCACGCAGTTGCTCACAATGTTCTCAACCAGACTTGAACATACTTTACACCCACATCCATTGCCCCTTCAGACTTTGCCAAATGTTGCTTGGTTACAGCACTGAGACGTTACCCAAGCAGAAGCTGTCACATCAATTATTCCTTCAAGATGTCAAAAATTGCATCCCAAGTTTTACCATATCACAATATGAAGATTCATATGGTAGTGATTGTTTTAAATTAAGTTTTCCCCCTAGCTCTGAATAGATATTAGGTACAATGACTAAGCTCAGCCTTGGTGGCACTTCATTGCAGCGGCAAGCAGGCAATTCATAAACACACAAGTCATCTGTAACAACCAGAGATGAAAGCTGATATGAAACATGGAGAAAAATGCACTTTTATGAAGAGTAACAATAGCATTATATCACAAAATGAAGTCCTTTTCTGATACGCCATCAGAAGCTGTAGGCTTGAGCAAGACATTGAATCTTACACTTTTAACACAATGTAGTTCTCATGGCTTCGAAATTCTTTGATTAGAAATACAACTACAATTATAGAGAATAGCTTTCAGTATCCTATTTGTCTTGGTTCAGCTCTATTTAGCTGCCTTAGTCTTGATGCTTCCACTACTGACAGAAAATCTTCTATAAAATTAGTTGGGCCAACTGTATTTTTTTTAAAGATCAGATAGCATCAAACAACTTGTATTAGTTTTTTAATATTCTGAACAGACTATAATGTTTTTGTTATAATACATTCTCTAATCAGGTAGGACAGCAAGACAAGAGGAAGGAGAACACTGAGTGACAAACAAAAATGATGAAAAGCACTATTACAGATTTGGAACACAAGCAGTTGAAAAATAAATCAGTGAACATTTGGAGCCAATGCTCTCCTATTCTCCCACCATTACATCTATGGAGCTCCTTGAAAACTGAACTCATTTTTAGACTATTATTTCTGGAAATTTTACTGATCTAAATCCCTTGAGATTTTAGGTAATTAATTTTAAATCAGCTTTCAACCTTTAAAATATTTACAAAATGTCTAAATTTCAGGAGAGTGAAAGACAGCAACACTGCTTCAGATGTTGAGCATTAATTAGCTATTGGTTTTCTGGAAAGTTTGTTTATTAAAAAAACACACATTTTAAAATGCCAGCAATGAGGTGAATACTATGAGGAAGAAACCTGAATGTCAACAAGCATTACAATAATAAAGAATGAGACTCATTCTGGAGCTTCAATTCATCATACTGGTGTGGATAGAATTACTGACAGTTACCAGATTAGTGAACCGGTGTTTTGGATTGTAGATAAACTTGTTTAAAGAATCGAGCCACTAAAGCCAGTATGGGTGCTGCACCGTGATAGCAGGGCAGACAAATTAACGAGTCTTCTGTATGCAAAAGCAAAATACTGCAGTGCGTGGGCTCTGAAATCAAAGCTGAAAATACTCCATAGAGCAGACAGCGACTGTGGAATTCTTTACCGCAGAGAGCTGTCAAGGCTGGCCATTAAGTATAGTCAAAGCTGAGCCAGACACGTTTCTAATCAGTAAGGATTATGGGAGAAAAGCAAAAGAGCTGAGGATTATGAAGTCAGCTATGATCTCACTGAATTGTGGAGCAGACTTGACTGGTCCAATGGTCCTGTCTTATCGTCTCATTTATGGAAGGAAAGAAATAGTAAATGTCTTGGGTTGATTATCCTTCATTAGAACCAAGTAATGGTAGAAAGGCAACAACTTCTGAGAAGGTAGGAGTGGCAAAGGAAGAACAAATGAAAGGAATGTGCTAGAGAAGGACAGATTAAATGACAAAAGGTTTCATGTTACAAAGGAAAGAATGTGATGATGGGTATAGTGAAGAAACAAAAAAAGATCTAAATGAGCAGCTCCATTACAGCCTTTGCCCTTCCACCAAGTTCAAAGTAAAGGAATAAACAAGAAGAAAAAAAGCAACTAATCTGTTTATAAAATACAAAATGGGGACAGAGGTGACAATCTAAAATTGTTGCACTCAGTGTCAAATCATGGAGCCCATAGAATGCCCAATAGAAAGGGGTGCTGTTCCTCTAGGTCCCATAAAGCTGCATGGGAATATTGTAGCAGGCCACAGGAAGATCAGACTGTAGAAACAGGGTGGAGTCATGTTTGTGGATCGATCAGTGGTTCTGCAAAGTGGTTACAGATTACAATGCAGAGACCATCACATTGTCAGCGGTGAATTCTAAACTGAAAGTAGTACCAGAAAATCGCCAATTCTTTTGAATGCATGTTTCCTAGCATTGTTTTCAAGTTGGTATTAGCTGCTCATCATGATTGTGAAGTGTACATTCCAGTGAAACCCCAAGTCTCCTTAACTGATCTGTTCTGACTTTCAGATCCCATTCTGGGCTATTAAAACAGGGCTTGGCAATCATAGACCATGACAAAAAGAAGGAATCTTGATTTCTGTCTGTGAACCGCACTATGCGGTACAAGTCACAATCAAGTTGAGTCACAATGCATTGAAGGTTGAATAGTTTGAGTAGTTATTATCTATGTTGGCAAATGCAGAGTGGCCACTTGAATGAAATATAGAAGGCTGATAAGCATGGGTGGAGAATCTTATGGAGAGGTTTACAGCTGATGGGTATCTTGGCAGACATCAAACCTAGATATTAACTCGGTGAAGTTTTTATCATCAAGTTTTGAGCATGTAAAGATATAGACATTTGAAAATGATAAAAGTAAGTTAACTGCTGCATGATTTGTAACTTGTGTGAACTTTAAAAAAGAAATTCTGTTCATCTAACATAATCATTACTATTACTATTGTTTCTAAATAAATACATAATACCTCTTTCTAAAGCCCACAAAAGTATTAGCAGAATGTTGAAAAACTAAAATTGTATGTTTTTCTTCAAAGACTCCCCTACTGGCCCTCCTTGAAAGCAACAATCATATTCTGAAGTGAAATTGTGAACTATTTTATCAAAAGCTGAAAGATACTTTGCGAAATCTAAATACAATATCAATTTGATTTTTTTTATCTATTTCACATCCACCTCGCACCAAACTCATTTTTTCTAGACAGCAACTTGCCAAAGAACAACATACAGCCCAGTTTTCCCAGCTTTGTACATATGAATACAAATGGTTGCAAAGCAATCTTCTTCCCCTGTTTACGTTACAAAATGCATTAGCAGATGTTGCAGAGACAGATGGGGTCAAATACAGAGAGGAAAAAAAAATGCCATATTTAGACTGAAGCCTTTCAGGGTTCAAGCAGAGAACTGAAGAATTTGTCAATGATGGGACAGTTTGGCAGATGCTTGCAATACATTAAACAAATTACAACTAAACTAGGAATACTGGGCTTAATATAATACAAAAGAATAAAACATTCACATCCTCTCTCCTTCCTTTCTCCAAGGTAAACAGCTAGGTCCATATGTTGTCCTTTCACTCAAGTCAGCTGCATTTGGTTTAGCTTCACAATACTTACATGTGAGGACTGAGCTCATAGAAATTTCGGTTGCGATATTCTTCTACTTTCTCTGGCGTATAGACGGGCAACTGCCTGTAGGGGTTTACAGATATGACTACACTTCCGATGTAAGTCTGCAACAGGAAAGAACATAAATGCCAACATTAAAATACAGCAAGTTTTGAAGTATAGCTGTTCTAAATGATAGGTTTCATGCTGTCAAACAGGGAACCACCCCATTTAAAGCAAGATTGGGAAACCCAGTGTCCTGCTGATAGGTAAGATTTTGTTATTCATTCCCACTCGATGAATATTGTTTGGGGACGTTCAAGGCAGAGGCACGCTCCAAAAGATGAGCTGGGGAAAAATAATTCATGTTATAAGTTATCAGTTGGCAAACAAATACCCAGAGTAGTCAGCTATGCACCTACACAGTGTACTTTGATGAACTTGATATACATTGGGAGAATGAAGGGCAGCTTATATATTGTTCCAGTGTCCTGCAAGTCAGCATTTACTGAACATTCTCCATACCTTTGATCGTCCAGGTATATTTCTTCAACATTAGAGAGGTTGCGTTTCTATCACAAATGTTTCAGTAAAGTATTAGAGAACTTAAACAAAAGAACTGCTCTATGCAAATTCTCAGATGAATTTTCTTCGATTTATCTCAAATGCCCCCTTCTCCCGATAATCCTGGTCCATGATGGTTTACAGTTCATTGGTAGAAGCAACCCTTCAATATTCACTCATTCACTAATTCTTTATTTCTCAGAGTAACGTTTGTTCCTATTTTAAATGATCACAGAGGATTTGGGAATATGTCTGATGGACATATCCACCCGGAGTGACAGAGACAATATCAGCGATGTCATAGGACACCCTTCTTTAAGGTAAATGGCTACCTTCAGATTTTTAGTGAGCCAACGCTGTGAGCACACAACCAAAAGCAGAAACCACACTTGGGATGAGTCACTGAAGCATCAGAGAGAACATGTGGCTGAGATGCTGATGCTAATTAGTGAAGAAAGAAATAAAAAAGCAAGTCATTTTGAAGGGAAGACACTTCACACAGAGGGTGGTGCCTGTATGAAATGAACTGCCAGAGGAGGTGGTGGAGGCCTGTACAGTTACAACATCTAAAAAAAAAGCATCTGGATGGGTACATGAATAGGAAGAGTTTAGAGGGATATGAGCCAAATGCTGGCAAATGGGACTAGATTAATTCAGAATATCTGGATGTCATGGACATGTTAGACCAAAGGATCTGTTTCCATGCTGTACATGTCAATGACCTGAAGTCAGGAACAAGGACAGGAAAAAAAGAAAAAAGTTGCAAGAAAGGATTGATAAGAGAAAGAAGTCTACAAATGACAGATAATAAAAACCTCAGATGAACCAGTAGACAAGTCAACAGCAATTATTTCTCATCATCACCCATGCCAAATATGTAGTGGTTAAATAATTAAGTGAGGCACATTTAGAACATCAAAAGACCTGTATCCAAGGGTTACCGTTTTGTGCTGTTGCAAATTAGAACTGCTAAAAAAAAAAAAGGAGCCAATGGTGTACTGCTAAGGTTGCTGGACTGGCAATCCTGAACCCCAACTACTGTTCTGAGGACATGAGTTCAAATCCCACTATTGCAGATGGTGCAATTTGATTTCAATAAAAATCTGGAAGTTAGCCTGATAACTAACAATGGTTACATGTTGCTGTCATAAAAAAACTGTAATGTCCCTTACGGAAGGAAATCTGCCATCCTTACCCAATCTGGTCTACGTGACTCCAGATTCACAGCAATGCGATGGACTCCTAATTGCCTACTGTGCAATCTATGCTGGCTTAGCCAATGACACCCACATCTCATGGTTGATTTTAAAAAAAGGTTCATAAGGCAACATTCTAAACACTAACCACCACTTCACTGCCAATGATGCTACCTTTTAAACATGATTTCTGCAGAAATGCGTATTCAGCACAAAGATAAAGATCAATTGATGCCTGACGCGCAACAAATTTCCATTTTCACATGGACTGACATTCTCCTCAGCCATGGAGGTTAATTAAAGGCAAGTCACTATGATATAGCTCGGTAATCAATACTGGATGTTCCGAGTCCGACATTCCAGAACCTGAATCCGGACTGAAGTACGAGTGTGTGAGAGATCCACCATAATCTTTCTTTAAAATCTCTGATCAGAATTCTGAACATAAAAACAAAAAAGAAAGCCAAAATGTCTCACCAAGAATGGAGACATTTCCCTCAAGAATTATTTTTCACATACTATACCCTTTTTCTTTAAAGCCTCTTTAGGTTATAAAAGGCTTGAAGACCAAACGACTATGTTCTTTTATCAAATATTTATCACACACTGATTTAATAACGCTGCATTTGCTGCCACATTTATTTTTAACTCAGTCACTGTAGATTACGTTATTCCTTCCAGAGTATTGCTATGCTTCGTCTTTACCTCTCTAACTTTCCCCAATAGCAAGCTTAGAAAAACTGCTCTGAATACAGCAATGTAGCATGTTCTGCACCAATCATCCTGTGGTCTCAATAAAACTACCAGATTATTGCCCTACACAATTTTGAGCTATGGGCCAACACTTTCTAAGAGCAGCTTTGAGAGTGCCAAATACATTTCAGAGAGGAAAAGTACAGTAGCAGAGGAATTTCAATCTTACTATTCTGATATTTATTTAAATCTTAAGCATGAGTGAAATAACAGGTATGGGGACCTGCTCTATGTTATTATGCTCCTTACCTCCCACAGTGAGGCAAACATAAAAGTGTTCAATGTCGACTGATATCCTTACTACAGCAAAGTTTACTCTTAAAAATATCACTGTCTTAATCAATGCAAGATGGATGCTTTCAAAACTTCATTTTAAAAGCATTCTTCTGCAAACTGCTGAAGTTTCCCAGACATACTGCAGTTACAGCAGCTGTTGGTAACATTTATAACAGAAGCATATGCTCTTACTGCCAGTTCTACATATGTTTCCGTGTTAAGCAGAGGTTGAAGGAAAAACTGCAGAAGTGGCAATTATAGAAGTGACTGCGCTTTACAGCATATATGGAACTAATTCTCTGAGGAGGTCTGGAGGTCACAAGAGGTTCCAAGGGACTCACACCGAAGTAAACTTCAACTACTGCCGGAGAACTATCAACTCTGCACAAGACCCCCTTTGGTCTGCCTGAAACCTACATTTGTCCTTGACCTAGTGTTACGGATGGAACATTCCAGAACCATGCGCTGAGGGATGCAGTATAGCTTGAGGCAATTGTTGCAGAGATGCAATGGGGTAAAGCTACTAGTCAAGGCCTTTCAGTCATTGTACACTGAAGGGCTGGAAAGTTGGTAAAACACCCCTTAGGCTATATCTTTGACATACAATGAATAATAATAATAATAATGATATCTGACAACATATTGAGTAAATACAAAATTGGAATTTCTGGTTTTTAAGATTCTGTGAAAACTGTGCAGTGTAGAAAGAGGCCATTTGGCCCACTGAGTCAAATACTGACTCTACAAAGAGCATCCCATCCTATCCCCATAACCCTGCATTAACTATGCCTAACCCACGTAGCCTATGCGTCCCTGGTCACTACAGACAATTTAGCATGGCTAATTCAACTAACCTGCACATCTTTGGAGTGTGGGAGAAAGCTGGAGCACTGGCAGAAACCCACAGCTACAGGGAGAAAGTGCAAACTCCACACAGTCAGCCAGCCCAGGCTGGATGTGAACTGTGTGAGGCAGCAGTGCTAACCACTGAGCCACCATGTCATGTGCTTGGATTTGCATTTTCTACATTATTTGAATAATCATGTAATGTACTTTAAATTTTGTGAATAAAATGTTTGCTTTTGGAAAACAGTCAGCAAAAATGCAAGTTCTGGTTATTGTAGATTGTATGAAGGTCACTGAAAGGAGCAGTGATTTCATACAAAATAGTTGATATGATTGACTTTAATGATATTACTGCTGAGTAACCCATCTATGAAAGATTCACCTGAAGCTGGTCATTTGGTTTTGATCTGATTTAATTTATTATTGTCACATGTACCAAGATACAGCGAAAAGTACTGTCTTGTGTGCTATCCAGACAAATTATAATTTACGTATGTACATTAGGATAATTGAACAGACTGCAGAATATAGTTTTATAGCTACAGAGAAGCTGCAGAGAAAGATCAACTCTAATGTATGAGAAGTCCATTTATAAATCTAATAACAGGAGGGAAGAAGCCGTTCTTGAATCTTGTTGGTACGTGTTTTCAAACTTTTGTATCTTCTGCCTAATGGAAGAGGGTGGAAGAGAGTATAACTAAGGTAGGAGGGGTCCTTGATTGCATTGGCTGCTTTTGCAAGGCAACTGGACATGGAGCATTACAAAGTAATTCTCTTTTGGAAAGTTAGAGAATCTGCAGTTTACCAATGAGGTCAATTTTGTATCATTTAACAAAATCAGAATGTTAAAGTGTTAATAGTACCGGGTGATAAAAAATGGGAAGTCACACTTGTAACAGATTATAAACCCAACTGAGGGTGCCAGTGTGGCTGATAAGTGTACAATGTTTATTGAAGAGACTAATGCAAAATGTGACTGTTGTATAAGGCTATGACTGTAAAAGAGTCAATGTTCATATTAGAGACAACAAGGTGCAGGGCTGGATGAACACAGCAGGCCAAGCAGCATCATAGGAGCAGAGAGGCTGACGTTTCGGGCCTAGACCCTTCATCAGAAAAGGGGGAGGGGAAGGGGGTTTTGAAATAAATAGGGAGAGAGTGGGAGGCGGATAGAAGAGGGATAGAGGAGAGGATAGCTGGAGAGGAAACAAACAGGTCGAAGAGGCGGGGATGGAGCCAGTAAAGGTGAGTGTAGGTAGGGAGTTAGGAAGGGGATAGGTCAGTCCAGGGAGGACGGACAGGTCAAGGGGGCGGGATGAGGTTGGTCGGTAGGAGATGGAGGTGCGGCTTGAGGTGGGAGGAGGGGATAGGTGGGAGGAAGAACAGGTTAGGGAGGCAGGGACGAGCTGGACTGGTTTTGGGATGCGGTAGGGGGAGGGGAGATTTCGGTTCGCAATAAACAACTGCACCTCCCAGTCGCGAACCATTTC